GTCTTTTGAAGGTTGTATTTTTCACTTCTGCAAGTGATGTTCCCCTTTGTACACTACAAAATTCGAAGTACTTGATAGGCCAATGAAAACACAAGTCCCTTTGTAAAATTTTGCTTTTGTAGGACTGTTCCAAGCCCTCCTGGATCTGCCTGTAATTATGCACATAGAAATCATGTTCCATTAATACACCAGACCCTGGACCTGCACTCCTGTCCACAGAGTGTGTTGATGGGTCTGGGTGAGCACACAGGTGTGAAAGGCATTTATTCAGCACCTCCACTTTGAAGAAAGACAATCTCATATTTGAGTACTGAATAGAAGTTTATTTTTATATTTGCAGTGCTAGAGATTGAATCTGGGGCCTGTCCATGCTAGGCAAGCTGGTTACTCCTAAGCCACACCCCTAGCCCATACTAGGTGTCTAGAATAATTTGCTCACTATTTAATTACTGACAGTCACACATACAGAAAGCATCAAATATTGATGGAAATGCAAATTCCAGTTTTGTAGGTATGGATGGGGCTTGAGATTATTTCTAACAGGTCTCCATGTTTTGAGTAGCAGGGCTCTGCAATGATTCATGGTTTAGTAATTGGTTACAAACACACACATCATCCACTGTTGTTCACTGGAAATTCTGCCAACTGTCTGCAAAATAGAATAAAGAGGAGAAAAGGAAGGGATGGATACAGTGGGTAGTGACAGTGAGACAAACATCTCCCTGAGGCCCGGGCAGAGTCGTCTATTGTTTTTGAGAGCCAGATTTCCTTAGATTTTGCATCTGGGCTCCTCTGCTTACTACATGCATACATATACCCATATTATCTTAGCTTCCTTGCCATGTCATCCCCATAGCTGGGAATGATACTGCCTCAAGCTGTCATCATAGGAAGCAAAGGGGGTAATGTAAAAAAAACCAAAACGAACAAACAAAAAAAACCCAAAACCATAATGCAGTAGTGAGACTGTAACAAATTAGGAAAATGAAATCACTAACTATAATCTTTATCTGAAAAAAATGTATCAGATGCAAAGGAATAGAAATGTATGCTAATTACTTGAAATTCTCTACCAAAAGATAAGAATACAATGCAGAATATTGAGATGCTCATTTTTTTACTTTAAAATATATTGCCTTTTTGTTTCAGTCTGCACTAAATCATAGATAATCTTACAATATTTAAAATAGCAATTCAAAAGGCTTAATACAGGAAACATGTGTTCTATATATGAATAATATTCCTAAGTAAACATCTAGCCTTAACAAATGCTTTTTGACATTATGTGGAAATTTACCCTGTAATCACAATTCAAGTAGAGATGATTTAAGTGTCATCTGTCTGATGAGTAGGTCAGCGTCTACATTTTCACTGAGTGCTGCGGCATCATAGAGGAAATACGTATCATACCAGCTATTCTCCGTTCACCTAATTGAAACTCACTAGACCTTCACCTGGGATTCACACCTTTGCTTCTTTATTCTTCTCTAGCATTTCCTTATTTACACTGCTCTTTTTCAAAGTTTTCCCTTTGGTGCCTCTGTCCTGCCCCAAATGTATTCAGTGAAAAGAAAACATGGCCTTTGGTACCAGAGAGACCTAGAAGCAAATCCAATGTGGATCCCAACTTTGAGGACCTGGATGGCCTTGGACAAGAGTTTTTCTCTAAGATACAGTTTTCTTTATCAGTTGCTGGATTTTGGTAAAGATTACAGTTAATATTTGTTAGGAATTTGGAGACTACACAAGGAAAGTAGGTAATGACTACAAGATTTTGATAGTATTTATGAGGTATCTTTGAAACAGAGAGTAAATATTTAAATTAAATATGTATTATAGTAGCCTGTAATCCCAGGAGGATTGGGGGGCTGAGGCAGGAGGGTCACTGTGAGTTCGAGACCAGCCTGGGCTACATAATGAGTTCCAGATCAGTCTCAACTACATAGTGAGACCCTGTCTCAAAAAACTGAAAAAACTTTTTATTATGGTAAAAGACACATTGTCATTTACAGTATTGAGCCCCCTCACAGTACACCCCTTTCCTTCAAATACACTTGTCTCATCCTGCTTGACACTTTCTGAAGCTGTTTTGGAAGCCCTCTTTCGTGAATGCACTGTCACGGCTGCCCCAGCATTCTGAACTGACTCTGCGTGGTCATTTTGAGATTAAGGCAGGGCCAGAAGTCTCATGGCACCAGATCCGGTGATTAGGGGGATGAGGAGACATTGTGATGTTTTTGCAAGCCTACCTTTGGATGGGTGACCCTTGCCAGCAGCATTCACCAAGGTTTTGATCACACCTCATAAAGATTCATGAATGAGGATTCCTACTTCTGCTTCAGAAAGTGACAAGCACGGTGGGCTGAGTGTGTTTGGAATGAGGGTGAAAGTTTTGAGGGAAATTAACGTCAATATGTCTTTTATTGTAATAATTTTTTTATTGAAATCTTTACCATATATTTCACCTCCTAAGTGTCAGTTTATGTACCAGCTGTTTGAAATCTTCCTGGATGGTTTGTAGATGTAAATGGGTTTTTCCTGCTCTAATACCCACACTGGTGTGTTTTATTTGTACCTAGTTTTATAGTGGCATCTTAACTACTGTGTATAAATAACACCAGGGATAGATTGTCTCCTCTGTAAAACTTGAAATTTCTGTGGAAAAGATTCTAACTTTCATATTTACATGCACACATGCTTCTATCTAGGAGTTTACACGTAATGCTATAATAATAAATATTTGATAAATATCTCCTTAATGAAGCGAAATAACTTCTTGGCAAAACATCAGGTTTTCATTTGATCTACTTCTGGTTTCTCCCAATTTCTCCCACTTTTCAATGCCTGGCCATACAAAATTACATCAAACAGCAGATGCATAATGATATTGTCCAACAAATATGATTTATTTAGCAGTCATATACAATAGGAAATACAGAGAATTACAGCATAATAAAAACACAAGAATTATAAGTTGTCAAGTTAAAAATTAAATTAAAGAGGCTCTGGTTAAATGAGAGGCATGTTACTTTGCAGGATATATATGGCAGTTATCTTGGAATACAAATGCAGAATGGGACATTTCAGGTACAGCAGCCTAACTCATCAGCCCTCTTGGCACAATGGACCCCACACTGGTGTTTGCAGACGGAAGGGTGTAGGTAATCTCCCCCCAACTTCCTGTTAGATAGATAGCGCCACCTCCATCTAACTTCCTGTTGGATAGCGCCAACTTCACCCAGCTTCCTGTTGAATAGTGCCAAATCACAGCTCTCTTACAGAGAGTAGGAGATGAAGAAGGGAGCGATATGGAAAATAAAAAAGGGGAGAGGAATGGAGAAGGTGGGAGAGCGGGGAAAGGCTAAGTGCCTCAAGAAGCATGCCAACCTCGAATACAGGGTGAGTCTTCCCCACGTCTTCTGCAAGGTCAGCCCCAGGGCTTTGTGAGTCACATGATCTGGAAAACTAGGCTAAAGCCCAAACACAGAAACTGGTTCAAATCTTTACATTCCTTTGTTTTTAATATCCCAGTATAGAGATCTTAATGTATCAAGGGAACAAAGTGGATGTTTCAAACACCATTTGAGAAGCAGTGTTGCAACCTATTCCTCCCTCCGAGAGACCACAGCTTTACGAAAGAACTGGCTCAAGTAGGAATCATAGTAATTATACTTCCCAGACAATCATATTCTATTTTAAGTGTAGAGTTTTTTCTGGATGATAAATAGCTCATTAAAAAAAAATGACTCTAAAAGCAGTAGTTACAGTTTAACCATAAATAGAAATAAAAAGTCCATTTTTAAAGGACGAAAAGTCATCATGATGTGCATTTCTATAAATCTTCCCCCAGGACATTATTATAGATCACTCTTTACTGCTTACATTAAAAAATATCCGTTGTAATCTCTATGATATAATCCGGTTATTTAGCTGTGTTCTGCACAAGATTCAGAGGAAACTAAAGCTAAAGATCACAGTCACAGAACACTGAAAAGCATTTTGTACTGTCCACACACAAATATATCTTAAATTACAATGATGCATACTAAATATGCATACAGAATATGGCTTACACTTTAAAAGATATCTAAGCGTGAGTTATAAAGTCTCACCACTTAGGCGGAAAAGTTTCTGCCTGAATCCATTTCTAGTATTGCTTAGCATTATGGAACCCGGGAAAGAGGCAGGCGCAACTGGCAACTCGTTAGAATGGATGGAATCTCCTCCTTTCCGTCAGGTAACTTGTGGCTGTTCTTGATTCTTTCCCTCCTCTTTCTACCTTTCACGGAGACAAATTCACTTAAGCTCGCAGTCATTGAAACGTTCCTGTGGTGAAAAGCTATAGCACTGCATTGAGCTTGACCTTTCTTGTCCGCTAATAACAAATAAAGGTAGTTTTTCAATTTGTAGCAGAGGGAAGGCTTTGCACATGCTCGGGCAACACATGACAAGAGGCAGGACCTCTGAGGGTTGCAGTTTGCGTCCTTTTAGAAATATTGAAGGGTCACATCAATACTGTTATTTCTACAGAAAAGCGTGGGCTTCCGTTTCCGCGGACATCTTTAAATATATGTGCACACACGAACACAGACAGTTCTTGTGTCCCATCCCTTGGCTTGTAATGTATTTTATCACATCCGGATGGGATCAATACCCCAGAAGACAAGTTCCGTTCCCTCTTCGAGTCTCTAGCAGTGGCTGTTATTGGGTGCTGCCGGTAACGTGATCCTTCACTGTGACCAGCCGTGCAGGTGATGAAACCACAGCGATGAGGCAGCTGGCCCGGGGCTTCTGGGAAAGGCTGATCTGCTGCCACTTCCCAGCTTGAGCTTTACACCGAGCGTCCATGAGGCTGCTGAGCCCCAGCAACGAAGGTGCCCGTCCCCTTACAATTCAGCTGCAGCTCCTGGGCAGCCCCAACTCTCCTGTCGTTGCCATGCATTAAAATAAGGGCAATCTAAACAGGCTGTTCCCTGTGCTGCCAAAAAATATTTTTTGCACTTCATTTTTGTATCCTTCAAGACCTTTAAAGATTTGCAGTTAGAGCACTCTCTCAGACAATGCAAGAAAGTACAGTTAAAATGCTTCATCTTCTGCACGTGTATTGTACAGGCACGTGGCAGGGTTACAAGTGTCGCAAATTTAAAACTATCCACTTTTGTATTAAAAATTTCTCTAGCTTGATGGAAGAAGGCCAAATTGTGAAGAAAAAACAATGGCAGAAGCACTGGCCAAAAGCTCCCATAGAAACTTCAAGGTACTTACTTGGCCAGTTACTAGGTTAAAATGTGTGTTATTCTTATTCCTCCTACAGGAGTTCATTAAAATGCCTGATCCAACACTAGGCTGAAGTAGAGTATAGCTTTGTGGAAAACTGAGGACTTAGGATGTTTGTTAGAGACGTTTTCATCATCCTGAAATAAAATTCAAATGAAAATGAAGAACAAAGAAGGTGCAGGTGTGGGGGGTTGGGCAGATATCAGTCAGAGGATACAAAATTCCAGTCAGCCAGGAGGAGGAAGTTTTAAATATCTCTTGTACCACATGGTGACACTCACTAATAACATGGTCCTGTATTCTTAAAAATTGCCCAAAGAGTAGATTTTGTGTTCTTACCATGAAAAAATTATAAGTGTATGAGGTTTTAGATATATATTTATATGTGTTAATATGTAATTTATATTATATATGCCAATTAGATCAATTTAACCATTCCATTACATATATATATTTAAAGCTACATATATGTGATAAATATATAAATATATGTCAAAAATACAAAGGATAGAGATCATGAGTTTGTCATATATAGGCACTGATTACTTTGTGATGATTTCACATTTTACTTGATACACTTCGTCAAAATAAGGGATTTATCAGTATATAATAGATACTGATTTTACATCAGTTAAAATTTACTTCCTATTTCTGCTGTTTATATGTGTCTCTCTGTGTATGGATTGTATTCCCAATAAAAGCCTTTTAATACATTGGTCATTTTCACAAATATATTGGTAACCTGCATTTCATATAGTTTCCTGAAAATATCCAGAAATATTCCAGGTCCATACTGTAAATGCTTAGAAAATGCTCATCCTAAAGTTCTTTTTTTTTTTTCCCCCCTTTTTGAAAGGTTGCGCTATACACTGGCTTAGAGGTATCCTCTAGGAAGGAATCTTGCTTAATTTTGTTTTACCTTTAGCTAATGATACTTATTTGCTAAAAATATCCTTTGTTATATAAATTATATTATTCCTCTGCATTAGTTTTCCCTAAAATATTCTTCAGGGGTTTAATATATATCAGCTGGACCCAAAGGCATTTCTGAAATGACCATGGGCACTAAAGGTAATAAATGAGTACTTTTTTTTTTTTGGTACCAGGGAATCAATCTTGGGATCTGGCACTTGGGAGGCAAGTGGCGGAACCACTGAGCTAAATCCCCAGCCCTATAAATGTGTACTTTTAATATAGGTTCTTGAGAGGAAATTCAGCTAATTTTAAACAATATGCTACAACTGTTAACTGTGGAGATGGATTCCAGTTGCTGAAGAGCCGCTCTGTGGCCTGATGTCTTTCCAGGCTGTGTATAAAGTAGAAATTGTAGCCATCAACTAAGGAAATGTGGTGAGGATTCAGTGGGGTAACCCAGTGACAGGTTTGTAACTGTCTCTGTAACTCAGAATACCAATTGTAACATTTCAAAGGTGGTGCCCTTAACATTTTCTCTGGCTCCATCCTGCCAACAGCAAGATTCATTGTAATACTTGGATTTTTTGTTTTTTGTTTTTTTTTCATAGACACTAAGACGATTCCTCTGTGCATTCCTATAGCTTGTTATCAGTAAACACGATTTTTATTAGAAATACTTAAATTTTAGCTGGTAAGGTTTTTGCCTCAGAAGACTGAAGATGGATTGAAAAAAAAAAAGAATTGACAAGAGAATTTAAAGACCTTTGTCTCCAAGGGTACTCTATAAACCACTCATTTCAGAAATTAGGTTTCTCAACCAAAAACATAAAATTACCTCTCCTTTGTAAAATGACAGAAGCCTTTAAGATGTTTCAGTCCTACAGATGTGTGTCAACATGTTTTTCTTCAGTGTTTGCTAAGTCTTCTGAGTTCTTATGAAGATCAGGTTCACCTAAAAAAAAAAAAAAAAAAAAAAAAAAAA